GCTGGTTGCGCTCTTTCTGTTTTCGCGTTGTCTCAGGAGGGGGGGCCCGATAATTCGACCCCTCGCTTTGCTCGGCCTAAGAGCTGCATGCGCATGGAGTGCGCCGCAGAGCGCGAGCCTGAAAAATTCTCGCATCTGAGAAACCAAACAAAAAAAAACTAATGAAAATGCTGCTGCAGAACCGGATAATAAAGAAGAGCACGTGCGATCATCCACTCGGGAACCAGACGCCAGCCTCGGAGTGCCTGAAGGGCCCAGTGGTGCTGGGCTGCCAGGGAGGTGGCCATCTCGCGCTCAATGACATCCCGACCACAGTCTGCCGTCGAAAACATAGCCTGCTTCGCCGCGCCCAGACACTCCAGAGCAGGAAGGCCACCAGGGATCGCGAGAATCGCGGCCTCTAGGAACTCAGAGAAGTCACTGCGAGTGACAATCCACTTAAAAATAAAGGGAGAAGAAATGCCTGGCTTGAAAGGCTCAAAAAAGAAATCGGGAGGGACGCGGTCGCTGAGCATTCTCGCGCGAAGCTTGCCGATCACTCCAGAACGCGCACAACAATCTCGAAGCAGGGTCTGAGGTGAAGAGGTGCATGCGCGATCAGGGCGAGCAGCGCGCGCGAGCGCGCCGTCGCGCACTTCGCGCTGGGTGTCTCGTTCTCGACGTGGCTCTATCACATGAGGGAATAGCCGACGGAAAAGACACGAACGCGCCCCATCCCCAGGAGATCACCCAGAACCGACCCCCACGCATGCGCCCTTCGTCATCAAGAAAGGAATTGAAGCCCCCAAGAATGATGCGATGGCGACCTGCAGTCGCCTGAGACGCTTGCTTGACCACATGCAGGGCGCGAGAGTAGATGGAGCGGGCGTTGCTGGCGCTGGACAGGCGAAGGTTGGAGGCCGAGAGAAAACCAAAGAGGCCAATGAGCTGAGCGAGGTGACCACGACCAAGTATCAGTTCCATGTGCTGAATCACCGGAAAGGGACGGGCAAATTCAGGACCCACCACAATGACCACACCACCTTCGCGTTGACTGTCGGAGAAAAAGGAATGGCCAATGTTGAAGCCTTGCCGGGACGCGTTCAGCTCGCGACGGGGCTGACCGATATCACGCAGTCTGACCATGCGTTTCCTGACGACGTTTAATCTGGAATCGCTTAGAGATTCGGAGGAAGAGCGAGAAGCGAACGCTGGCTCGCGAACAAGCGTTGCGAACATAGCTAAAAAGTCCGCGGGAGTTCCACGCGCTAACAGACAGCAGCTCGCGGGGGAGGAAGGGCGGACAAGTGGATCTGGGGAAACAAAGGAAGACACTCATCGCTGCTGTAGTCAGAGAAGAGCGGCGACTCACTCCTTGATCTGCTGGAGGCGGCTCTCGATGGAGAGCGCGCGGATGCCTGTCAATCTCGACCGTCACTTCCAGCGAGCCTTCAGCACAACTGAGCTGCACAAGTGGAACGGGGTCCTCAGGAGCACGGAGAGCGCGCACCAGTCCACCAAGGCCATTGCTAAGGACAAAGATCTGCCGTTCTTGAAGGGTCCGTGTCAGGTAGGAGCGGACCCGCCCCATGGAGAGAAAAGCCGGCGGTCAATGATGTTCTGGTCTCGCTTGATCCTCAGAGGGAGCGGGGGAGCAGGCGCAAGCAGGCCCGCAATCGCGAACGGGCCCTGCGTCATGGAGCTCGACATGAAGTTAGAAGCGTCGAGTGGTTTCCCGAAACCGAGTGTGATCTTCTTGGCCATGTCGAAGGCTTCGATCAGGGTGTGCTTCTGGCGGTCCTGCGGGGCGCACTTCTGGCGGAGGGCTTCACCAACGGAACGCAATGTCGATTGTAGCATCCTGCGCGGGGAGCGGAGTACGATGAGCTTGCGCGCGTTGTCCTGCGCCTTCTGAGTGCGGGACGAAAGAGACGAGCGAGAGCCAACAGAAGAGGGTGGCACAGAGATCACTCTCAATTGCTCCTCGATCGCCTCGATCTCAGCATCGTCAGCATCCATCGCGACGGTCGGGGTAGCATTCCCAGGTTCAGCATTGCGGGTGCGGGCCTGGACGTCGGACTTGAGATTCTCGAAGCGGTCGTTGAGATCTGTCCAAGCCGCAGAGGCCTGTCCCTCGAGGATCGCACATTTCTTCTCGGAGTCGGTAGAAAGGTTGCCAATATGTGTCGTGAGCCGCGAGCGAGTTACAACGCTGCTGGGTCGCCTGTACATGATTCTTGGTGAGGGAGATGTCGTAGCTGGATGCCGCGATATGCCGCCCAAAGCCCTGGAAGAAGGTGAGAAGCTGGTCGAGCTTGTCGTCCAAAATAAAAGTCGGCCTCTTCTGTCTGCGTCCGCTTCTGCTCGCAGAAGCACTGCGTCTGCTGCGGGAACTCGACCGAGAATCAGTGCGCTGCATTGCTTGGCGCTGCGTGGCATTGCATGGCAAGGCAGCAAGTAAACGAACGACCAAGCAACCACATGATCCAAACCAAGGAACCAGGACATCCAGACCAAGAACAGAAGACAAGGGAACCAAGGAACCAAGACCAAGGAACCAAAAAACCCAGACTACATAAGGAACCGCGACCAAGGATTCAGAGGAAGGCAGCAAGGCACCAAGACCAAGAAACAAAGGAACAAGGACACGCGAGCCAAGAAACCAAGACCAAGGAATCAAGGATCCAAGACCAAGGAACAAGGGAACCAAGGAACCAAGGAGACAAGGAACCCAAGGAGCCAAGGAACCAGGGCCAAGGAGACCAGGAACCAAGACCAAGGAACCAAGGGACCGAGGAACCAGGGAACCAAGTAACCAGGGCTATGGCGCCGAGGAGCCACGGAAGCCACGCCAAGGAACCCGAGGAGAGCACCAGGGAACCCGAGGAGGCCAGGGGGCCGGGACACCAAGACCAGGGGACCCGAGGAAGACCGGCCGGCCAGGCCCAGCACGCCGCCGACCCCCCTCCACAGACAGGACGAGAGCCCCTCGGGCAGGGCCCCAATCGAGGAACGTGCACCAGCCAAACATCCGAGGGAGCAGAAAACCCGCCCCCATGAGAAGCACCCCGACAAGCAATGGGAGGAGTCGAACAGGGCCGGGCTGCTTGGTAAACGCTCAGGGCCGTGTAGTAAACGCCAACTGTCGGGGTCGGGGTGGTTTTTCCTCCCTCCGCGTCCTCCAAGAACATGAGAGCCTCTGCCGGCCAAACTGAAGAACATTCGAGGGTACCCTCCTCCAGGGTGCACAAAAACATCCAACAGGCACGAAGATCATTTGGGCACCGTATGCCGAACAATGCACACATCCTGTCTGCAGGCGAGCATGGCAACGGGGAAGCCAGTGGCAGAAATGCAAGCTAGGACCATGGACGGGGCGGCAAGCCATCGGCCACGCCCGAACAGAAACAAGGTCGCACTGCATGGTGGCATCGAGCACGAGCTTGGCCCCGAAGGCTTAGTTGGGCAAATCGAGCATCCATTGGCGATCCTTCACCCCCCCCCATCCTCTGGACAGGCCCACCGCCTCTGCTCTCTCAGGCAAGAGCGGGTACAACATGCTCGTTCTACAGGCCGTGCAACGTCAATCTTGTTATCCCCTCACAAGAGGCAAGTTTTCCCGAATGGCGATCCACAGACCTACATCTGAAGCAACAAAGATTGCGATAGTCGTTGCCGCCCAGGAGGAAACTGTTCGCGAACCCAGCGCCGGCGATGCCATACCATCGAAGTTCCAACAGTCTACCCAGAGGTGGTGCTCGACCATCGCAACTTTGAGCGGTGCTGAGACGTGGGCCAGGCCTACTGGTATAGAAGACACTCGCCCTACCCTTTCTCTCTACCTACTTCCACAGAGGCCTCCTAGATGGGGTCCGAGCAGATGGGGTGTGAAGATCGCGCCGAATCGCCGATACACTAGCGATGCATCGCCGATGCATCGGCGATGCACCCGCGACGTCGGCGACGCATCGGCGACGTCGTCGTGGAGAAAATCGGGCTCCGCATCGCGCCGCATCACCGATGCATTGGCGACGCGACGCGATCCTCCGACCCCGTCTACTCCGACGCCATCCGGGAGGCCGTGATTCCAGGCGGGAGAACACCAGCAAAGCTCGAGGTGCGGCGTGGGAGCGGATGTCCAGCGCGGGGTCGGGAGCCCTCGAAGCCACGGAGAGGGCAGAGGGCAGAGCGCCACGCCGGAGGGATGCATTGCGCCGTGGCGTAGGGGGGGGAGTCAGGAGAGCGCCCCAGACGGCGGACCTCCAGGCCACGGCGGCCGAGGAGAACGCAACGACACCCATGGCACGCGCGGCTGCGGTAGACACCGCCCCCGCAGCCTGCCTACAGTCAACCAGTACAGTGAGGATGCGCGATAAGGATGCAAGGGCCTTGGACGCCCATTTCGAAGCTTTTCGAGCGGGGCGGTGCCCGCGAAAGCGGCGAAGGATGGACCGAGGAGGCAAGGATGCAAGGGTACCCTTGGGGAGGTTGCCCATCATCACTATGCGGGCTGACTGTATGGTCTGCACCCCCACGGCAAAAGATGCCGTGCGGACCCGTCCGTGCGGACTCTTCCCGCCGCCCCGCCCCCGACCCTGGGGAAGAGCCCCCCCCCTGCACTGCACCGGCCGGGCCGGGGGAGGGAAGAGAAGCTGCACGCCAGGCTGCACGCCAGCCATCACCGGGAGGTCTCACGCACCACTCGTTGCGGCGGGGGCACTGGGTAGGGGACCAATTGGACCAGGAATCCAGGGGCCGGAAGTCGGAAGAATACCGGCAGAGGCGTGGCAACGGAGATCGCCGTCGCCCGAATCAGATAAGAAATGCTCCAGGGTCTGAGGTCTCATGGGCACGTCCCTCAAAGAGCGCCCCAACAGTACATATAAGAAAACATACCCGCAGGAGAAAGAACGCCAGCCAAGTCTGGACGCAATCGTCATGTATTTGATAAGCTGTCCTTCATTCGAAGCTTCCTCGGGGCGTTGTAGTCGTCTTCCACGTACCCAGGGTGCGCATTGCGCTCACCACCGAAGCCGAAGAGCA